AAATATTTGATATTGTTTAGAAATTTAATTGTTTTTTTGTTTTTTTTTTATTTTATTTTATTCCATTTTTTTTTTGCATTAGCAGTGTCCTAATAATATGTGGTACCTAATAGGCTATGATGGTACTAGAAGGATGATTCAGATTACCTATGGTACTAACATCATTGGTACTAGAAGGTTGATTCGTAACAAGCACACCTTGACAAGGTAAGATAGCTTCGTTTTGTTCCTTTAATAACATTCTTTTTAAGTTCCTTTGTCGAATCTGAAGTGATAATGTCACATTTCTGTTTTTTTTTTTCTATTTTTTTTTCCGCTTTTTTGTTTGTTTGTTTGTTTGTTTGTTTTTTGAGGTATTGGAGTGAAAAAAAAAAAAGATGAAAAATCTGTTTCATCAAAAATAAATTCTGGGAAGAAATTTCATCAAAAAAAAAAAAAAAAAGAAACTATTCTTGCCTTTTTTTTTGTTTTGATTTTTAAAATTGTAGAAATAAGAGAATGTGACCAGATGAAGTATAATACTGTCAGGTAAATGATATATTTGTCCAGGTTAATTATTATTAACCTTTTTAATAATCTCTTATTCTCCGTTCCCAATTTTATGATAAAAAATAGTAAAATAGGAAATTAAAAAAAAAAAATAGTTCACTTAATCCATTAGGATTTGATAAAGTTATCAAACAAAAATATTTTTAATTCTCATTTATTACTGCAAATGTGTTAAACATTAAATTTTTAAGTTTAATTTTTCTTTTTTTTTTTATTGAACAAAAAATGGAAAAGAAAAAAAAACCGGAAAAATAGTTAGTATTTTCAGAATACCTGTTCTTCAAGTCCGGTAATTACGGCAACTGCTTGATGTAAAACACCTAATTTTGTTTGCGTTTTATCAGAGCCTTGTTGCAAATGCTGAGCACACATTTTGCCAAGTTCCTTGAATGCCATATTAATATCTTTTACCCGAATCCTAAAATTACTTAATATATTTATAAGATGGATTAATTAGAATTAAATCAAATTAAATTTAAATTGGAAATGATATTCAATAAGTAAATTTGATAAATAAACAAAAAAATTTCCGGAGAAAATGGTAAAAGCAAAATGTATAATTAAAAATAATCATGTCACTACTATTTATTTATTCAATGAGGATAAAAATTTGATATGCAAATTTAAATATTTAAATACATCTCGATAAACTATAATTTTTCAGACAAGAATCATGCTCAATATTTTAATTGTTACAAAATTGTTAAATAGTCTGAAATAGGTGTATCTGATAAAGTAAAATGATAAAATTATTTGATTAAAAAAAAAAAAGTTTTGATTAAATTCACTTCGAATTAATTACATTTAAATGGTTTGCTTTTTTAGATTAAATATAGATGATGATAATGATTAACAATTGAATAACAAGATCAACAAATGAGTGATCAAATTTTCCTGATTACATTTATTAACATCGAAAACCGTCAAAAACCATTTGTTACAATTTCTACCTTTTTCCGGAAAACTTGAAGTGAAGAAAATTTGTGAAAAGAAAAAATTTGTAAGAATTGACGAAGCTATAAAAGTGAGTAATTTTTGAAGAATTTTAACTTTAAAAAAAAGAAACCTTTCACGAGCGTTATTTGCACTACGACGATCAGCTTCACGATCATCATTTGATCTAGCATCATCATCCGAATCTAATTTTACACTTTTTGATCGTTTCTTGGTGCTAACTCGAGGTGTACTCATCCCGATGGTACCTAATGATGACGTAGAGGTTGCTGATGTCATCCCGTTCATACCACCAGGACCAGTTAATATACCGCTATAATCGAACTGATCACGTGATGCCGGTACTCCGACACCGCTTACCAAATCCGGTCTAACTGTAGCTGGTCCGGTAACAGGTGACATAGCTGAAAAATTTTTGCTAATTTCTTTTTAATTTCTAATTAATTCTATTGATATAGGAAGAAAAAAAAATAATATCTATTCGAAAACTTTTTTTTTTTTCTTTAATTGTTAATATAAATTTGCTAAAAATTCATTAATATTATTTATCAGTCATTTTTTTTTTTTTTTTTTTTTGTAAATTTAAATTTGATGAAACGAATGCAAAATTCATACTGTTATAAGGATCCAATGTTGGAATTAATGGTGCAGATGCTGCGATACTCCTTGTATCTTCAATACTTGTTACTCCAGCATTCTGAAATATAAAATGAACTGAAAATTGGAAATGTATATTGGAAATTATCATAGTAATTATTAGTATAATCATTAAAATATAAATCCCACATTAGATTCTCGATTTTAGATATAATTATGATTACTAAAAAACAAAAAAAAAGTTGAAAGAAGGAAGAGAATATGAATCGATGATAATGAAATGTAGGAGAAATCAGAAATACAATAATTTTCAAATACTAAAAATTTTCTGTAAACATTTCAGCATTTAAACAATGTTTTTTTTTTTTTTTTTTTTTTTTTTTCAAAGAAAACAATTATTATTATTTATTTCAAATACTTAATGAAAATTTTAAACTCTTTCTATGCTAATAATTATAATTTGGTAGAAAAAAAAAATTGGTATGTAAAAGCAAACAAAGAAAAATGAATTGTATTTTCCTTCATTGAAATTACAAACATTCAGGAATGAATTAGTTGCAGTATGATTTAAATTTTAAATGAATTAAATTGAATCATTCAATTCTCTTTTTTTTTTTATAATTAAAATGAATTAAATTCATCGATCTAAAATGAATTTCAGTTTAAAATGAAAATTGTTTGATTTGAAGTGAATGTTTGATCATTTAAAATTAATTATTGAATAATTACTGTTTTATTGATTTGCATTTCTCATAAATTCTCATTTATTTGTTGTTTTATTAAGCCAATCAGAATATAATGTATTTTTCATGCATTGAGCAACTATGAATCAATCATATTGCAATTTAATTGTTAATTTTATAATTGTGATTAATTAATTTTGCAATTGTTACTTAATAATTAATTTTATTACTTTTCAAATTAATTGCATCTCTCACCAAATTAAATCAGATAATCAAATTGGTTATGATTAATAATTATTATTAAAATTATGATTATCATTTATTATCATGATATTTTTTTCAAAGCATCGTGTATGCATGCATTCATTATTTATGTTTTTTGCTTTCTTTTTTTTTTTTTTTTTTCTCCTTCAAGTTTTTTAACAATTTCGTTTCGTTTTTGCGAATATTTTTCTATTTCCATTAATTCAAATTTCACTTTTAATAGTTTTCGTTTTTTCTTTTTCTTTTCGTAAGTTTATTCGAGAGGATTTGTTAAATAAACACAGTAACAGTTTCAGTAATGATATTAAGCAGGAATAAAATGGAGAGAGGGGGGTATGACAGGATGAATTTTGGAACAAAGAAGAGATGTCATTGTCATAAACGATGAACAGATGTTGCGGGTTTTCTAGTGACGAGAGAAGGGATAAGAGAGAATTGAAAGATGGGATAGAAGAGAGGGTAACCTTATCGATGAAAAAAAAGGAGACAATTTACTCTGAAAGGTCATCCATCCAAAAATTGAAAATAATCAAAGCCAATGATTGGTGTTATAATCTTTACAATAATATAATATTCTGATTGTTTAAATAGGAAAAAAGGAAGGAAATTTCATTTCTGAGAATTATCAAATTTGTTGCAAATTTTATGGAAAAAAAAAAAGAAAAAAAAAATTTCTAAAATAAGTTCAATTCTATTAATTTCCTAGGCTATGATGAATATTTCCAATTTTATTTCTTTAATTTCAATTTTAATTTATGCATATCAATTAGTGAGTTGAATTATAATGTTGGAAATATTTGCTGAAAATTGAATAATAAAAATTGATGTGTAAAATAAAATGATGATAGGATGGATGGACATTTTCTATATCTGTCATAAACATATTTTCATTTATTATTTTACTTTGACAAACTTTTTTTTTTAAATTGAAAAAAAAAAAAAAAAAAAGAAGAAAACGAAGAAAACAAAAATTCAATTAATTTTCTTCAATTGTAATAAGTTTTTATTTTCAATTTATTGGATTAAAAATAGAACACACAATTTTGATGAAAAGACAAATTAATGTAATAATTTCTAACTACCATAAAAAGAGAGATAAAAAGAGAGAAAGAGAGAGGGAGAGAGAGAGAGAGTGAAAAGAGAGGAAAATTTTGTCGATTATTTAACAAATATATTAGAAAAATTAAAAGTGTTGTTACCACCTGCTGAATATACTGTTTAACAGCAGTAAACCGATCATCACATCTTATTTAATTTCATCTTAAACCAAAAATCATTGTTTGACCTTCTTCTTTTATGAAAAATGTCAAAGGAGTCATCTTCATTTACATAAATTGAGATCAAAATGACATACGACATAAAGGGACACCGCTGATGCCATGCATGCATGCATGCATGCATGTTGCAAATAATCCAAACAAAACCATCATCAAAAATGTTGACATGATGATCAATGATGAAAGGAAAAAAAAAAAAAAAAGAAAGAGAAATAAAGGCCTTGACCATTTGTTTCTAAGACAAATCGTTTATAATTTCACCATAAAATTCATCATATAAATCGTATGACCTTTTAACTGACCTTTTACTTTCTTAATTTGTTACCCTCTTTAAGTGTCATATATTTTGATGAAGTTTAATTTGAATAGTAAAAGGATAAAAGGAGAAAGCAACGATCTCGCTTGACCAAATCATTATTTCTAAGACAAAACATTTACAATATTTCCATAAAATTCATCATATAATCAATCCATCATCATCCAACTTTCTCTCTCTCTCTCTCTCTCTCTCTCTCGCTCTCTCTCATTTTCTTCTTCCAATTTATTACTTAACTTAATATATTTGCAATAATATATTCACGAAAAGTTTATATCAATGAAAACTGATAATTTCTTGAATTTTAATTAAATTAAAAAAAAAAAAAACGAAATGAAAAATTGTATAGAATTAATTTAATTATTTGTAAACCTGTAAAGGATGAGTGTAGAAATGAAGCGGTGCAGCAACATCTTCACGTCTCATCATATCACCTGTGCCACTCAAATATGAACTTGCTAAACTTTCCGGCATTTGTTTATCATCCGGTTGAAACTGAAATATCAAAATATAAATAATTTTAATTAAAATATTCCAAGAAAAAAAAAAAAAACAAACAAACGTAACATAGGTTAATTTCATTCTTGTTAGCTAAGTTAAAAGTTACATAAAAGAGAAAAATTTTTGAAAAAGAAAAAAAAAACTATAACAAATTTTAAAATTACAAATTGAATTTGTAAAATTTCGAAAAAAAAAAAGAAACCTTTCTCTTTTTTTCAGGAAAATAATAAAAAGTATTAAATAGCTCAGGGAAAAAAAACTTACTGGAGGCACATATGAAGGGAAATATTGGGGATAACAAGTGGTACTGTGATGTGTTGAGTACATTGACGGAGGTACCGTAACACCCGGATTACTGTTATCATTATCGTATAACTGGAAAAAAAGGATATAAATGATAATGTGAGATATATTTATAATTTATATCGTTATTTACAATCAATCCTATTTACAACTCTTTGTTTTATTTTTTATTTTTTTTTCTTTTCTTCACATTTCTTTGTATCTCAAATAAAAGCCGAATAAACTGTAAACAGATTAAGATGTCATTACAGTGTCAACTTTTCTTTTCTTTTTTTTTTTTTGAAGATATCAATAAAAAAGAATTGCTGCAAAAAAAGAATTTATGATAAATTTACGATTAATCTTAAATCATACTTTGCCAATTTCAACGACATCATCATTTGCAGGAGTTGTAGAAGCGGAAACTGGAACCGGATATGCAACGGATGCAGTAACCGATAGGGAATGTGTATAATCATCATCCGTTGTTGAATGCATTGGTAGCATTGTTCCATTATAACTAAAATGTATAAATTATTATAATTTGTTCATTTAAAAAAAAAAAAAAAAAAAAAAAAGTTATTTGAAATATAAATTAAAAATAAAAAAATTTTTTTTAAAAAATTTTTTTACAAATAATTTTTTATATACCTTCCAGTAGTCATAAGTTGATTGTATGGATTATGTTGTGGTAAATTTGAATTATTCCAATAAACATTAGCTGCAGCAACACTACTACTCATATCATGAATTGTAGTATCATGATTTCCTGGTGTAATCATTATTTGTGTATTATCTAATGGATAGCTATTATAGCTACCATTACTACTATCTGAATACATTGTTGTTGTTATTGCTGATGGAGTAATTAATGAGCCGGTTCCGGCTAAATTACCTTTTCCAGATTGTCCCTAAAATTAGGATTAATCTTATTGAAAATTACTGATTACTTTTATGTGTTCATTTTCTTTTTTCTTTTTTTATAAATTTTTGATAAAATATAATTTGTTAAAAAGTTTTTCTAAATATATTTTAAAAAAAAAAAATTTATATTAATTTGATGTTAATATAAGATAAAAATTGCGAGAAAAAAAAAACAAAAAGATCTAAAAATTATAAATTAAATTCAGTCTTTTTTTTCACGTTTTCATTTCTTAAAATTCTTGAAAAATTTAAACAAAAAATGAATAAATTTTAAATTTGTCAAATGAAACTGAATAACAAACACAAATGATCAAATAAATACATAGAAATTACTGGAAAAAAAAAGAAAAAACGGAGAAATGTAATAGTGATGGATTAATGTGAAAGTTAAACAAATGTAATGAAAATAGTAAAATATTGTAAGAACAAAAAAAAAATAAATAAATAAATAAATATTATCAACGAAAAAAATTGATATAATTTATTGAAATTAAATGATTGAAAATGATAAAAATAATTGTTCATGAAATAAGTAAGAAGAATAATAGTAATACTAGTTTCAAGTAAATAGTTTTATAATAAAAAAGTAGTCGAATTTTAGCAAATTTATTAATATAGAGGAATTAAGAGAGATAAAGAAAGAGAAGGAACAAAGTTTGAAATATCGTGGAAATAATTTTAGTTATCACTGATGGTGCTGATGATAATGATGTTATCACTACTTATCACTAATGATGATGATGATAGTAATTTTATGTAATAATCTATTCCATTATCAATTTGAATACTTAAATGCACACTGATGTTATGAACTTTTTAAAATTATTCAAATCAATCATCAGATATTAAATATAAAAGGGTAAGAACTCTACGTGTGTAAGCTAACACGTAAGTGAATTAAACGTTTATTTAAAACATTATAAAATATGCAAAATTACTTCACAAAAATTGTGCAGTAAAATTTCATCAATGTAAATTCTTGAAATGATTTTGATTTTACTGGAAAACTATTTATATATAAGTAAGATGGATAGAACTACCATCTTATGTCTTATAGGACTTTTCGACATATCGGATTATACAGCATTTGAAAATTCTTTGTAGTTACACTTTTAATTTTATAATTTCAAATGTGAATCTCGAAAATTATTATTACCGTAATCTTCCAGGCTACAAGCAACAAGTTTACTCATAGTGCGGAGCAACAAAAGGCTGAACTGAACTGATGTAATTACATATGCGCCAATATATATGTATATATGAATGTTAGTACGCACATGTGGGCGTGAATATGGGCGTGGACGTGGACGTGGGCGTGTGGAAGTCTCTGACGTAAACAAATTTTTAGATTTTGTAGAAGTTTTTGACGCAAACAGATTTTCAGATTTTGTGGAAGTTTTTTGACGTAAACAGATTTTCTCACATTCTTTAGAAGCAACAAAGCAGTAGTAAAGTGCGGAATATCTCGTGAACTTACCTATAATTTTAAATTCATATTTGATTTTCAGCATAACTTCACAATTTAACTATTTCATCTAAGTTCTGTAAAAATATTAATGAAATATTTCATTTCATTTCATAAATATTACAATGTATAGAGATTTGATACTTTAAAAGTTCGATATTAATTATTAAATTTTGATTTGAGTTATCAATAAAGTAGAGAAAGTCTTTAGTTAATATAAAATAGATTAACATACTATTAACGGAAATACAATTTAACATAACTGAAATTGCGATTATTTTTAAAAAAAAATGTCAAATTTATTAGAAATATGCAAAAATTATCCCTTTATTAAGAGACAAGGATAGAGAGAGAGAGAGAGAGAGATGGAGAGAGAAAGAGAGAAAATAATTTGGACTCATATCTTTAGTTGTGTTAATCATTTTAAACTTTTAAGCTTTCCCAAAAATTATCTTTTTCGGGAACTTTTTTTTTTTCATTTATGGAAATATATCGTAGAATTTCTAAGCAAATTTCTATCTCTTAAATTTAATAAATATTCGTTATAAATTGAATTTGAATAAGCAAAATTTGATTGTAACATTTGCAATTCTTCGTTTTCATATAATTGAAATATCGAGAAATTTTTGCCACATATCACTAAACTTTATTAAAACAAAACTGATAATTATTACCTGTAAATTCATTATATTCACTGATTAATACTTACTATTATTTATTTGTTTATTATTTAACACATATCATGAGTCATTATTATCAACATCATTCATTATTTTCCCAAACCTTTTTAACAATCTATCAATAAAATAAGCAAATCAATTAATAAACAACATAAAATAAAGAAGCAAACAATACTAACAAAATAAGACGAATATACTTAAAAATAATAAAACTAAAAAAAAAAAAGAATGAATGCAATCTATTCGCTTTATGCATGATTTTATCATTCTAAAACACATAAAAATATCAAATTTGGATATGAAAAAAGAAAGAAAAATTGATTGAACAGCGCAAAAAAGCCAATCAAATAAATGTTATTCTTCTCTATTATCACTACTAAAGTAACAAACTCTATTCTTTCCTTAATTTTATTCATACATTTTTATTCAATTATAAACAGAAGCTATTGATTTATACTGTACAATTATGGCTATACCGTAATATCAATGCTTTTTATATTTGAATAAAAGAAAATAAACATTTGGTAGAATTAAAATAACAATTTACATCGTTCCACTTTTTTTTTTTCTTTCCACTTTTTCCATTCTTCTTTTTTTTTTTTTTTTTTTTCAAGAATAAAAAGTACGATTGTTTGCGCATGAATGAATTACCGTATCCAAATGAATACTTTTTCTTGTCATTACTTTTCTCTTTCTCTCTCTCTCTCATATTCTTAATTTATTTCAATTATTCTATGTCATTGTAATTATATTATACGTAAGTATATTATGAAGGAAAGAAAAAAAAAAAAACTTGAAACTTTTTTCTGAAATTCTTATTCAATTATACTTCTATTTTACTACGATGTATTTCTTATTTCATTACAAATAAAATTAATTGTTCAGCATTTTTTTTTTCTCTTAAAGAAATTAAAATTTCACAAATTTCCTTAAAACAATTTAAATGATTTTAAAATTCAAATTCCACATTTTGTGACATAAATTAGCAAATCTGTTATAATGAAAGGTCAACAACAAGTGAGTAATGTCACCATTGTTTACACAGACAAATGCATCGGTCAAACGTATCAGAGTCAGCAGTCATTTATGGACGAGACAGACAGCATGACAATTTGATGAAAAATCTAAACAAACAAAAAAACATTATTAGTTATTATCAGTAAGATTTTAGATTAATCTGAAAAATGAAGGAAGAAGAGGAAAGAAGAAAGGGCAAATAATATTAAATTATTATCATATCATAATATTATCACTATGACAAGTAAATAAACACGTTAATAACTGATAAAATCTTCGTTCACAAATTGTCCTTTATGTATTAAATGAGAAAAACTATGCAAAAGTCATATGTAATTGATGTAATATTAGATATGTCAATTAAGTAATTCATTCAACTTTTGTTCGCTCTCGGAAAGATCAAACAAATAAACAAATAAATAAGTAAACAAATAAGAAGTACGAAATCTCCTTCTTCTCTTTATGCCAATCGCCTTACAAAAAAAAAAAAAAAAAAAAAGATACGCGCTGAATTTAAATAATATCGTGTTCATTTGTGTAACTATACTCCTATAGACCTAGACCGAATGGCATCATTTATCGAATTTGAATATTTTTAAAAATTTTGGACTAATAAAGAAAATCAAATTAATTCGTATAACTTTTCCAATAGAAGATAATTAGAATAAATTTTAAAATTAAATCATTCAGCTTGTGTTTATAATTTAATTTGATTTTTTTTTTGAATTTTGAATTGAATTAAAATGTATGCTATGAATGATTAACATTGAATGTTTAATTTAAAATTTCATACAATCATTTTAAACAATCGTTTTTTTTTTTTTTTTAATTTAAAAATTTATTTAAGTTAAATTATTGCTTATTTAATTTTACTTATGAAAAATATGATGTAAATGAAGGATAAAACTTACATTTCTCCGGCAAATACTGGAATTAAGAGGAGATGGCTGATGATTGACTAATTGTGGAATTGTACATCTGTACATACTATTGCTATTACTGTTGACTGAATTCACCTGATTAGTTGAATAATACGGAAATGAAAACGGTAATGATTCCTGTCCAATGATTTCATGACCTGATGTCATACTGGAATTGGAATAATTGTCTGGGAAATTACTTGGTAAAATTGGAAGTGAATGAAGAAGCAACCATTGAAAAATAGATATAAGAATGAAAAAAAAAAAAAAAGCCATGAAAGATCTTATTTAACGGATATGGAAAAGAAGGGGGAAGGAAGAGGGAGAGGGAGAGAGAGAGAGAGAGAGAGAGAGAGAGAGGGAGAAGAGGGATGAATAATTTTTCTTTGAGAAAATAAAAAAAAAAAAGGAGAGGGAGAGAGAGATGTGAGTGCTGTTATATATGAAAGGTTAATTTTTAATGAATAGTTTGAAGGAAAAAAAAAAGAGAAATGAGGGAGAGGGAGAGAGAGAGAGAGACAGAGAGAGAGAAGACAAGAATTAGCAATTTGGAGGTTAAAAGATAAGATTAGGAAATGAAAATGAGATGTTAGGAGTAAAAGTGGACAATAGTCCCCTTACATGGATTTGTGGTCATCCATACTATAGCCATGACCATTGACCTCTTTCTAGCTACTCAATAATTTTCCCTCCCCTCTCTCTCTCTCTTGTACTAATGATAGAGGAAGAACTGTCCAACACTAACCTAAAAGTCTACAATCAATGAATAAAAATGAAATAAAGCAAAAAGATATAGCTTAAAGGGACAATGAATTGTAGCAATCGGTCAGTGTTAG